GTAAGTGAGGTGGCTCTCCCATAAGCCTGGTGGCTTCTTGGGTCTCCTCGCCTTCTAACTGTTATCGCAATAATTAACTATTTTTTAATTGTTAAAATAAGGCAAATAAAGATGATGATGATGATGATGATTCCTTTTTCAAACTTTATCGCTAATACCAGCATCGTATTCGCTGCTTTCGCTTACGCGATTTTATATCATGAAACTCGTCACCACCAAAGGGAGATAAACGCACAGCAATTTCCCCCAAGAAGAAGAAGTGGAAAGATTTGTCAAAGAAAGCAAAGGAAGATAGAAGCACAGCAAATGCCCCAAGAAGAAGTGGAAAGATTTGTCAAAGAAAGCAAGGCACTTAAGACAACTGTGTTAGTGGTTGGAGCTTTTTTTTGTCTCTCTTCCTCCAGTTTTTGCATATCTAACATTTTTAGCCCTGTTTAAAATCTGCATCCAGCTATTCAGTGAAGGAGAGACTGAAAAAAAAAATTCGCACTGTTCATTTTTTTCTCACTTGATAAACTAAAACCTTATATTGTTGTCTTCTATGACGAGTATATATTCGAGCCAGAGTTAGTGCGCTACGTAACTGAACTGATAAACCATAGTCTTCACTGAAAGTGAAGACGAAAACTCCCTCAAGAGCGAGAACAACATAAGCTCCAGCATAAGTTCCTTAAGGCCTTCCTGCTGCCTTAATGATAATCATATTAAAATAAAAAGTGATAATGATAATAATAACGATGATAATAGTAATGACCATGAAGACGACAATTATAAAAATTTGTACTCCATAAAAAGTGCGATGGTCACGTGATTGGTTGCCAGAATGTTCTCATCATAGAAAAAGATTATGATCTTCATAGCTAAAGCAAAGATCAAATTATGCATGGTAAAAATCTTTAATTAACAACCATAGATGATAATAGTTTATGATTGATCTTTGAATATTGTCTTTTTTCGGGCGATTTGATGGAACGCCACCCTCTTGTAAAAGTGTTACCGTAGGCGTGACTTATATTGACTCTTAATTGTTCAAATTAAGGAGGTCGCTAATTTTGATTTGCACGGGGATTTTAAATTCACTTTCAATGATTCTTCTTGGAATCTTACCTTCTTTCGGGCGATTTGATTGACCGGTACTTTCATGTACATGTGCTTCCACTTGACATTTTCTCGCTCATTAGTGTCCGAAATTTCGAATTGTCTTGTTGAGTTTAAAGTTAATATATTTTTGTTGAAAATTACGAAGGTAAGACTGGAATAGAAAATAAAAAAATGAGAAAAGCTAGAAAACAAAGAAATAAAGTAAAATAGAAACTCTTGTGCACAAAGACGGCGTTTTATAACCGATCGCCCGAAAAATTCAAGTGGAAACACATTTACACTTAAGTGAGGCAGGTCAATGAAAGCCAATTCATTTTCCGCAGGTTCAGCTAAAATTCACTTGGCTAATAGTCATATTGGCATCCAGCCAATCAAATTTCCACGTGCTTAATTTACTAACGCTCTAAAGATGACCAGCACAGAAGGCTACAAGAAGGAGGTTAGTTGCATCATCAGAATTGTCTTTAACTGCATCGCTTTTCCCTTCACAATTCTGCTTAACGTACTGGTCGTAATAGCTGTGAAACGAAACCGGCTCGACTCCGAACCAACCGCAAGATCTTGCTGGCCTGTCTGGCGGTGACTTACGCATTAACTGGTCTCCTTGGCCAGCCGTCGTTCAGGAAGGAGGATGTGGAGGATATTTCAAATATTAGACCTCAGTAGCAGTCAAACAGTACTGAAAAAAAGTTCCATTTCATGTTTATGGCTGTTTTGATGATGGCTTAATACCTTCATCTGATGTTTGTTTCTTCATTTTGAGAGGCTCCTGGCGATCAAATTTACCATAAAACACTCAAACATTTTAACTAATAATAGTATAAAGTTAGTAGCGGTAGTAGTTTGGATCTTTGCCTTCATCAATGCGATTGTCAGCGTGTCAGAAATGAAATGAAATGAAAATTAATTGCCTTAATTCCTAGTTCATGTATCGTTTTCGTTACCTTCGCTTATGTGATTTTATATCAAGAAACCCGTCGCCTTCAAAAGAAGATCAAAGGACAACAACTGCCGCCAAGAAGAAGTGGAAAGATTTGCCAAAGAAAGCAAGGCGAAAACTGTGTTAGTGGTTGGAGCTCTTGTTGTCTGCTTTCTTCCAGTTCTTTTCTGCATTATTACGTCAGGACATATCTGCCCTGTCGACAGTCAAGTTTGGCGAACATGTATCATGTTCAATTCACTTTTAAATCCAATGATTTACTGTTTCAGACAAAAGGAATTGCGGAAGTTTATGTTTAGGAAAATAACCCAGGTCGTGCATCCAGCTATATCTAGTGAGGAAGGAGCTGAAAAACCTAATCGATGAACTAAACTTTTAATTGAGATCGAGACAGAGTGCTAAGTTTTGAATAAACCATAGTTTCTACTGTCAAGAATGAGTGAAGACGCAAACTATTTCAAAAGCGAGTATAACATAAGCTCTAGCGTCAGTTCCTGTAGTCCTTCTGTCGCCTTAATCAATGATAATGAAGTTAAAAAATTAAAATGATACTGATGATAATAGTGTCAGAAATTTCGAATTGTTTTTCTTGAGGTTAAAGTATTTTTGTTAAAATTACGAAATAAGTTTAAGGTCGACTCTAAGAAAGGTAGATTAGATCACCCCTGATGAGGCCACTAGACAGGAGTGTGTCGAGACGTTGGGTCTATGAATTATACCTTCTGGCTAACATCCATTAAATCTTTGAAATAGAATAGCATCAAACGATATCCGATTGTCCACCTGGTTGCTTTATGAAGTTTAATATCACCACTTAAGATTAAACTCCAACTTAAAATAAACTATACGCATAGCTGCGTGAACTCGGGCTTTCAATATCGCACTTCTGAAGTTATCTTTTGGGGACTCCAAAAATCAAGCCCTAGTCCTCAAATTCGAGTACTATAAAGGCATGGAATTTTTCATTTTTAAATTCAAGCATCTTAAAGGACTTTCAAGGCTTTTACGAACCCTGAGTAGGTAATGTATTTGACTTTAACTGCAAGGAGAAGGGAATTTTTTATCTATTATAGGTACCGAGTCATAGTCTGTTGCCAAATGTTCACCCAAGGGGAGTTTTCAGAAATCAATAGTTTGAAGCAATATTACTGTTCAATAATTCATATTATTTTTAATAGGAAAATCTCTAAATATTGAATATTGCTAATGGCTGCAACAAGAGAAGCAGTGCTATTTACAGTTTTAGTATATCAAATTAGAGGCACTTGACTTTCATTAAATACCAAGAGGGAATACACATATTTTGACCTTTTTGTGGGTTTAAAAATACATGTCATACAAAAAACTGAAAACCACATCAAAAACCCTGTGCATTCACTATTATTTCTAACAAGATTTTCGAGAATTGATTTGCTGTCAACTGAATCAGACAATATTCCTTAACTGTAATCACTTTTAGGATCTAAACTTACTTCAGTTCCACAAACATCAACAGTTTTTGGCTAATCATCCGGACGGTAAATACTTGTTTAAAGATGAATTTTCATATAATCTTTTGCCATACTGAGTCTCAGTGAGTCTGAGTAACATTAGATAAGGGATTTGAATTCCAGTAACCACACGATTTTATTATGGGGTAGCAGAGTGAATAGATAGCCACAGCACAACTCACATTGAACTTTCTGGTTTCACAGGCGGGCATGACTCTGAAAAAGAGTACTATTTTGAACTTTATTAATTTTAACCCCTTTCAACTTAAATATATCATTGTTATGTATACTCAAGCAGCACACATGTACCTTGAGGATAGCTTCTACCATAATTATCCCTTGCATGAGAATCAAATATTTTCAAGCCCACATTACCTTTACAATAGATAACAATTGCAGTACAACCTATTGTCAAGACAAAATTGTTGAAATTTTTTAATATAACTGATTGAAAGGCTCTATCTGGGGAGGTACAGTACTGATATCCTTCTATTGTAGCTTCTTGATGAATAGTACCAGTGTAGCTTTCACTGTACTGAAGTTCATAGTCAGTCTCGAACATATTTAAAGTGTGGGTAAATGTCTGCATTAAAAATGAATGTCTAGTTAACTGAGACAAACTTGGATACAACTGATTTCCAACATTCGTTATTGACACAAGATCATTAGTATAACTGATTCCTTGTTTGTTATTGTAAATCAAAGAGCATAAACTCATAGCAATACAATGTTGTCTTGAATTTTGTCCAAATATCAACTCATTAGCTTGGCTATATGGTGCCATTATTGTTTTGCTAGGGTCAATTTACATTAGAGTGAAACCAGGCTTTTTCTCTATAATTACCTGAACAAAGTTGAAATTAACGTGTCCGACTCTTATAAAGACATGGGTCTATTGTAAGAGAACATTGATAAATACCGACTTGCTCACAATTTCAATTTTCAATTTATCAATTTTCTTTATTTCGCACTATAATCTATACTTCAATTTAATTATCCTTTGATATACCCTCACAGAACAATTCAAAAAATACTTCTTCTCATGTTGTGTAACTTTATTCAATCTTACCCTCTTCTTATTAAGCTTACAAACATTCTTTGTAACTCTTCTAACCTTCATATAACGACGTAGCCAAGAGGACTTCGGTATGCTTACTAGCAGACGAATACGCTCAAAAACAAATTCCTTTAGTTTTCTGCCCTTTCTTCTGAGACGTTTCAGAGCAGCTTCTGGTTTTCTACTGGGTTCGCGATCACGTCTAAATACACGGTTGTGTTTACATGTAAACATAATATGACATAGCTCGTTTAAAATATAGCACGTTTCACTTGACATTCCTCGATAGAAGGTTCACTCGTAAAGGATCGCTCGTAAATTGATATCTCGTAAAGTTCGCGGACCGACCCGTTCCCAAAACGCTCCACAAGTTTTACTGTGGGTCTACCGCGAACGGTGTTTGACTTTCTTTGTATCTTGAGCGTAATAGCCATCGAATTTCCTACTCGTACATCAGGCAAGAAATTGTCCACGAAGGCAGCCATTGCTTTAAACCGTGCGCTCTAGGGTTAATTTTACGCATGCGCTTTAACTTCACGCATGCGCTGTAGTGGAACTGCGTTTAGTGACTGAACGCAAAAAAATAAAAAACAAGCCGAATTTAAACCTCGGGCGTTTCCTTCGGAAGGCCCGAGTAAAAACCCCTCTTGCTAACGTAAAAATGTATCTTAGCCCTCAGAGAGACTGTACCTTAAGGAAAAATTTAGGTTAAAAAGAAAAAAAACACTGGATAAGTTAATATTTTCTTAAATATGGGAGTTTATCATTCGCAATCAGGGCCAATCTCATCGTAATTTTCCCTTTCTAACTCTTCCCTGTCTTTTATTTTCACTATTTTCTATTCCAGTCTTACATTTCTTTGAGCCAAACCAAACTTATTCCGTGATTTTAAACATTTTCAAAATTTTAACTTCAACACAATACAATAAGAAATTTCTGACAGAAATGAGCGAGAAACCGTTAAGTGGAAGCACATGCACATGAAAGGGCCGGTCAATCAAATCACGCCAGACAAGGTAAAAACAGAGAAAAATCATTGAAATTGAATTTGTCTTAGTTAAGCATTGAAATTACCACGCGAATCAAGATAAACGACCTCCTTCATTGAACAATTATAAGTCAGTGTAAGGACACACTTTTACAGAAGGGCGGCGTTCCATCAAATCGCCCGAAAAAGACAATTATTAATTATTAATATTATTATTATTAATTATTATTCAAAGATCGATCATGAAATTGAATCCATTGTGGTAAAAAAATTAACAACTTCAGTATTATATAGTTAAGAATTATTATAATTCATGCTTAAAAGTATTGTCGAGTGGAAACACTTATACGCGTAAGCGGCTTCCATCAAATCGGCTGCAAAAGGTGGGATTCAGAGGGTCGATTTAAGAGATTGGTTAGACGTTCATTGGGCTTTGAACACACCATAGCCAACATAAATAACAACGTATATGAGCACGATCCTTCGCAGTAAAGCACTATTTGACACAATTTTCAATGTATATAGCTCATGCCAAAAAAATTGTAGAAAAGAAACTCTTGTGCACAAAGGCGGCGTTTTGTAGCCGATCACCCGAAAAAGTCAAATGGAAGCACATTCACACTTCTATGCACAGTTGACTCTCATTAACTCGTGTAGTCGTGTGCAAATGAACACAGATGTACACAGCAAGTCCATCCGATGACCGATGATTAGTGACGCAAATTTATCACTGACTCAATTGTTATTCAGTTTTTCATCTCTTGAGTACGGAGACGAAAACCGATAAACACGTAGCAGAATAAGAAGGGCAAACAACCAATTAACGAAAGATGATATGAACTGGGTCTAAGTCTGACGGTGTAGACAAGTCAATGGGAAAATTTACCTAATGGATTTCTATAATTTGACTCATTAAGACTTGGAAAGTATCGTTCAAAGTATCGTTCAAAATATCGTGTAAAGCCCAGTTTAAATTGATATGCTCTCCTATGCGATTATCTAAAAACACGAAACAGCTTGTTCATTGTTCCAGTCACTGTTGTCTACTCTATTTTAAACAACGTAAACAACAAATCCAGCACACGATACGCAGACCTCGTGGCAAACGAAACCATTTGGCACATGTTGTAGTTAGCCAGTGAGCTAACTACAACATGTGCCAAATCGTTAACTACTTCCTCTGTAGTTAATGATTTGGCGGGCTTCTCCATGTTAAAGTTTTAAATGTACTTTGGTAGCTGCTATTTTGTTTAATTTTTGGTAGAATAGAGTACTAGTTTAATTTCGTAAGTTTTGTAACTCTAATGATTAGAAAATGTTAAAGTGGGCGGTAACGGTTGTAGATGGACTTTTGTAACTGCTATTTTATCAAATTTTTGGCAGAATACAGTACTAGTTTAATTTGGTAAGCTTTGTAACTCTAATAATTAGAAAAGTGTTAATGAGTTGACCGCTCATTTCAGAGGCAGTCCTAGACAATGCACTACTAGACGAGGATACGGATGATGATGTCATGCTCTCTGATCGCCTCTAACGTTAGTTCTGATCGACATCCAAAAACTGTTCTCCCTCGCACTAAATGCATCGATCTTGAGACGCCAGCAGCATTATGTCCCATCAGTTGATCTACTCACGACCTTAACGCGAATTGGCTCGATGGGCTCTAAAATAGTGGAAGCGTGTAACCGTATAGAGCTGGTGAAATCGACTCTCTCAAATTTCATCTTTTGTAAAATTTGAACCAGGGCTGTCTTTATTTCGAGTTCAGCCAATCTAATTCCAAGACATTGCTTGGGACCCAGGCCAAATGGTAAAAAAGAGAATTTCGGGCGCCTCTCGGCCACCTCTGGAAGAAAACGATCTGGGTCGAATTTCTCGGGCTGCAAAAGAAACGGACATAGACAATTAATGTTAAACTTTGCCTGCTGTAGTAATGATTTCCTGAAAAAAGAATTGGCTGAGGCAACAACTTAGGGTTTGAGATAGAATGAATATATGAAGTTCATATATTTTGAACTGCGGTATTAGATACGTATGATGCACGATCCTCGCAGTAGATAGCGCTATTTATGCAATAGCGAAAGTCAGACCTGAAAAAGATCAGGCCTGTACGGGACTCGAACCACTGACCTCTGCGATACTAGTGCAGCGCTCTACCAATTGAGCTAACAAGCCAACTGGGAGCAGGCCGTTAAGTTGATTCGTAATAAACCCGTGAAAGTGATAAATGAGATAGAATGAATATATGAAGTTCATATATTTTGAACTGCGGTATTAGATACGTATGATGCACGATCCTCGCAGTAGATAGCGCTATTTATGCAATAGCGAAAATCAGACCTGAAAAAAATCAGGCCTGTACGGGACTCGAACCACTGACCTCTGCGATACTAGTGCAGCGCTCTACCAATTGAGCTAACAAGCCAACTGGGAGCAGGCCGTTAAGTTGATTCGTAATAAACCCGTGAAAGTGATAAATGAGATAGAATGAATATATGAAGTTCATATATTTTGAACTGCGGTATTAGATACGTATGATGCACGATCCTCGCAGTAGATAGCGCTATTTATGCAATAGCGAAAATCAGACCTGAAAAAGATCAGGCCTGTACGGGACTCGAACCACTGACCTCTGCGATACTAGTGCAGCGCTCTACCAATTGAGCTAACAAGCCAACTGGGAGCAGGCCGTTAAGTTGATTCGTAATAAACCCGTGAAAGTGATAAATGAGATAGAATGAATATATGAAGTTCATATATTTTGAACTGCGGTATTAGATACGTATGATGCACGATCCTCGCAGTAGATAGCGCTATTTATGCAATAGCGAAAATCAGACCTGAAAAAAATCAGGCCTGTACGGGACTCGAACCACTGACCTCTACGATACTAGTGCAGCGCTCTACCAAT